ATGCTAAGCCCATTGAGTCATAACTTCTGTTATTTCATTTATTTCTCTATTAAATTTCTGTCTGGTAATACTGTCTAGTGGCAACAGTGGGTGTAGAAGTCCCCTCCTATTAGGGGGTTGTGTGTGATTTTAAGTTTTAGTAATGTTTCTTTTACAAATGTGGGAGCCCTTGTTTGGGGGGCATAGATGTTCAGAATTGAAATTTCATCTTGATGTATTTTTCCTGTGATGAATATGAAATGACCTGTTGGTGGTAGTGGTATTGTCTATCTGTGTTTCCCTTTGTGGGGTTTGTAACGTGACATTATCTATTGCCTGTGTTTTTGTGAATGTAGCTAACTTCCTTGCTTTAGAGTATTCCTTCCAGTACTTTCTTGTGGATAGGTATTGTTTAAATCTGGTTTTGTCATGGAATATCTTGTTTTCTTAGTCTGTAGTGATTGAGAGCTTTACTGGGTATAGTAGTCTGGGCTGCAATCCATGATGTCTTAGTGTCTATAGAAAATCTATCCAGGACCTTCCAGCTTTGAGAGTTTCCATTGAGAAGTCAGGTGTAGTTCTGATAGGTATGCCTTTATATGTTACTTGGCCTTTTTCCTTTTCAGCTCTTGGTATTCTTTCTTTATTCTGTATGTTTGGTGTTTTGATTATTATGTGGCAATGTGACTTTTTTTGGTCCATTCTATTTGGTGTTCTGTAACCTTCTTGTGCTTTCCTAGGCATGTCTCCTTTAAGTTGGGAAAGTTTTCTTCTATGATTTTGTTGAATATGTTTTCTGCGCTTTTGAGCTGGACTTCTTCACCTTCATTTATACCTGTTATTCTTAGGTTTGGTCTTTTCATGATGTACCAGATTTCCTGGATATCTTTGTTAAGATTTTATTGGATTTAACATTTTCTTTGGTGTATGAATCTATTTCTTCTAATGTATCTTCAACACCTGAGATCCTATCTCCCATCTCTTACATTCTGTTGGTTATGCTTAGATCTGTAGTTCCTGACCATTTACCCAGATTTTCCATTTCCAACATTCCTTCGGTTTGTGTTTTCTTTATTGCCTCTATTTCTGTTTTCATGTCTTTAACTGTTTGTTTCCTACACCTGTTTGATTGTTTTATGTTGACTTGCCTTGCTTTCTTTAAGGGATTTGTTGATTTCTTGCATTTTTTGTTTGTCTTTTCCTCTATTTTTCCATTTTTGGTTTGTCTTTCCTCCATTTCTATAAGGGAGTTTCTCATTTCCTCTTTAAGGGCCTCTGTCATCTTCATAACGTTATTTTAAGGTTGTTTACTTCTGCTTCATCTGCATTGGGATGTTCAGGTCTTGCTGGTGTAGAATCCCTAGACTCTGGTGATATCATATTACACTTTATATTGTTGAATATGTTTTTATACTGTTGTCTACCCATCTTTTGCTACAATGGGTGTAAGTGGGGCCTATGATTCAGGGGGTCTCTCTTCCTCCAATTGGTGTAGGTGGGGTCTGTTACTTAGGTGATCACTGTTCCTCTCCTGATTGGGGCACAGCCAAGGCTCCAATGGAGGCAGATGCAGTGCTGGATTTTTTGGGTTTGGGGAGCCTCTCCCCAGGTCTGGGGCTACAGCGAGGAAGAGTAGGGAGTGTGACATGCTCCTGGTATTAAAGACTTAGGGGTAAGGGAATCCTGGGGGTCAGGGACCCAGGCATTCATCTCTTCTGATAGGTGTGCTCCTGGATGGTTTGGCATGTGGGGAGGCTGCCTCCAAGTCTCTGGGGTTTCAGTGGGTTGGATGGGCCATGCAATATCTAGACCCATGTTTTAAATACAGAGTAAAATGCAAGTGTGTTTCAATACTTCTTCATTTTTGTGTTCCACATAAACTTCAACTTTTATACACTCTGTGTATATCAGAACCCATTTTTCTTGGATCTGAAAATGCAGTATTCATATAGATGCTTTGGAATTTAAGTTCGGCTCTGCCATTTTGTGTTTGTTTTTTTTTTATTTTATTTTCCAGTTTAAATTTAGATAAGAATCAAGGTTGCTTCACAAGTCATTTCCAGGTCCCTCTCCCATTCCCTCCCTTCCTCCCGTGCCCTCCCCTCCCCCCCCCGTTATCCTCTCATTTCTCCAGGGAGGGTGAGGCCCTCCATGGGGGTGTCCATAGTGTGTCATTTCATATAGGGCAGGGCCTAGACCCTTTCCCAAGAGTTCTGGGTGAGAGTGCACCTCACATTGTTCTATTGGAGTCCAAAGTCCGTGTGTATACTTGGGATGGGTACTGATCTGCTGCCCAAGGCTCAATAGATTCCCTAGGCCTCTTCACTGACACCCAGATTCAGGGGGTCTTGATCAGTCCCATGCTGGCTTCCCAGGCTAATGCCTGGGATTCAAGAGTTAACCTTTGTCTGGTCAGCTGTTTCTGGGGGTTAAACCAGCCCAGTCTTAATCCCTTTGATTATCAGTCCTCCCTCTCTGTTACTGGCTTTCTTGAGTTCAGCTCAGTACTTAACCACGGGAGTCTGCCTCTTCTTCGATCAGCCACTAAATAAAGTTTCTGTTTCCCAGACTCTCTGGCCATAGGACTGTAGGCTGGCACTCCCCAGATCTATGTCTAAAATCCATATATGAGAGAGTACATGCCATGTTTCTCTTTTTGTGACTGGGTTACCTCACTCAGGATGGTTTCTTCTAGTGTCATCCATTTGCCTGCGAATCTCATGATTCCATTATTTTTTTCTGCTGAATAGTACTCCATTGTGTAGATGTACCACATTTTCTCTATCCACTCTTCGGGTGAGGGACATCTAGGTTGCTTCCACGTTCTGGCAATTACAAATAAAGCTGCTATGAACATAGTGGAACAGACCTCTTTGTTGTATGAATGGGCATCTTTTGGATATATGCCTAAGAGTGGAGTTGCTGGGTCTTGTGGTAGGTTTATTCCCATTTTTCTGAGGAATCTCCACACTGATTTCCAAAGTGGCTGAACCAGTTGGCACTCCCACCAGCAATGGAGGAGTGTCCCCCTTTCACCACATCCTCTCCAGCATAAATTGTCATTGGTGTTTTTGATTTTAGCCATTCTGACAGGGGTGAGATGGTATCTGAGAGTTGTTTTGATTTGCATTTCCCGGATGGCTAAGGATGTTGAGCACTTTCTCAAGTGCCTCTCAGCCATTTTAGACTCCTCTATTGAAAACTCTCTATTTAGTTCTGCAGCCCACTTTTTAATAGGGTCCTTTGGTGTTTTGGAGACTTCCTTCTTGAGTTCTTTGTAAATTTTGGAGATCAACCCTCTGTCAGATGTGGGATTAGTGAATATTTTTTCCCATTCTGTGGGCTGCCTTTTTGTCTTGCTGACTGTGTCCTTTGCCTTACAGAAGCTTCTCAGTTTCAGTAGGTCCCATTTATTAATTGTTGATCTTACTGCCTGTGCTACTGGTGTTATGTTCAGGAAGCTGTCTCCTGTACCAATTTGTTCAAGGGTACCACCCACTTTCTCTTCTAAGAGGTTCAGTGTGGCTGGATTTATGTTGAGGTCTTTGATCCATTTGGACTTAAGTTTTGTGCATGGCGATAGACATGGATCGATCTGCATTCTTCTACATGCCAGTCTCCAATTATGCCAGCACCATTTGTTGAAGATGCTTTCTTTATTCCATTGTATATTTTTAGCTTCTTTGTCAAAGATCAGATGTTCGTATGTGTGTGGGTTAATACCCGGGTTTTCAATTCGATTCCATTGGTCTACCTGTCTATTTTTGTGCCAATACCAAGCTGTTTTCAGGACTATAGCTCTATAATAGAGCTTGAGGTCAGGGATGGTGATGCCTCCGGACGTTGCCTTGTTGAACAGGGTTGTTTTGGCTATCCTGGGTCTTTTATTTTTCCATACAAAATTGATTATTGTTCTTTCAAGGTCTGTGAAGAATTGTGCTGGGATTTTAATGGGGATTGCATTGAATCTGTAGATTGCTTTTGGCAGGATTGCCATTTTTACTACATTGATCCTACCTATCCAAGAGCATGGGAGATCTTTCCATTTTCTGAGGGCTTCTTTAATTTCTTTCTTTAAAGATTCAAAGTTCTTACGATACAGGTCTTTCACTTGTTTGGTTAGCGTTACCCCAAGGTATTTTATGTTGTTTGCGGCAATTGTAAAGGGTGATGTTTCTCTGATTTCTCTTTCAGCCCTTTTATCATCTGTATATAGTAGGGCTACTGATTTTCTTGAGTTGATCTTGTAGCCTGCCACTTTGCTGAAGGTGTTAATCAGCTGTAAGAGTTCCCTGGTAGAGTTCTTTGGGTCATTGATATAAACTATCATATCGTCTGCAAACAGTGAAAGTTTGACCTCTTCCTTCCCAATTTGTATCCCCTTGATCCCCCTTTGTTGTCGTATGGCAATAGCTAGGACTTCAAGTACCATGTTGAAAAGGTATGGAGAGAGTGGACAGCCTTGTTTTGTTCCTGATTTTAGAGGAATTGCATTGAGTTTCTGTCCATTTAGTTTGATGTTGGCTGTTGGTTTACTGTATATAGCTTTTATTATGTTTAAGTATGTCCCTGTTATCCCAGATCTCTCCAAGACCTTTATCATGAAGGGGTGTTACGTGTTTGTTTTTTTTTAACTCAAGTAAATTTTCTCTTCCAAGCTTGCTTCAATCTACCTAGTACTATTGATAAAGTACCAGCCTTGGTTCTGACAAGAGCCTCAGGACATAATTACTATTCGGTTGAGCAAGAAAGGAATAATGAGTTCTCTCTGGTATTTGTCACAGCCTTTCCAGAGGGAGAGATGTTATGGTCTCTGATCAAAATGTCCTTTAGCATGTAGCACAAATCAAATCTTTAGGCCACTCCTCACTCACAATTTAGATGTTTATCATAATTTCCATAACTTCATGAATATTCAGTAACACATCTACTTTGTCACTGGGAAAGGTTATGATCCCAGTAAAAAAGATTAGAAGAATATTCTTCAACAAATCAGGAAAGAGGCATGTAAATAATTCAAGATGGAGCTAACTCCCAGCCACAAATATCAATCTATGAAGAAGAGGTATGAGAAAGGACAGTTCATTCCCAGAAGTGTACGTGTGTGTGTGTGTGTGTGTGTGTGTGTGTGTGTGTGTGTGTGTGTGTTGGATTGGGATAGTTATGATTCAATACTGTGATATGATATGAAGGAAATAATTAACTTCAAACAGTACACATTTTTCTCCCAAATTAGGCTCCAAATGCAAAAGCAACTCCCCAGAGTCACTCGGATGGCAAAGATTAAAAAAGAAAATAAATTTTTTCTCCTTGGTTGTTATTTCCTTGTTTTCTATACATATACAATGAGTTGTTCTGTAATTGCACCAAGTCAGTAATTTCAAATGCATAGAAGGGTATCACTTTACTATCCATGTCTCAAAGAGAAAATGATAGAGATAAAAGGTAAAACAAGTCAAAGTTTTTTCAGATTGGCTGTCATGTTAGCAAAGTGAAATTCCCCCCAAAAGACAACACTTTTAGAATGACACCATGGAACATTCTAAGAATGATGTTCACTCACTCTATGCCATTTAGGACAAATTCACTGTGGAGGAAGTGTGTGTGAGCAGACAGAGTAGGAGGAGCAGAAAGGGAGAGTATAAAGTCAGAGGCAAGGTTTGCTCCTGTGTGTGCCATCAGCAGGCAACTGGAGGTGATGAGACATCTTGTGGGCTGGGTGTCGCTAGCTGTCTGCATGTATGGACTCAATGCAGGTGAGGTGGAGATGAGGGGGTGAGGATCAGAGGAGGAGAGCCCAAGGCAAATGAGGATTGAGAAAGGCTGGAGAGCAACTGTCCAAGATAGCTTTTCAGTCTACCGAATGGAGAGCAGAGAACCATGGATTTGACTGTTGTTCTTCCCCTCCTTGGTTGAGTGAGCACAGAACAGGTGACCTTACCTGTGAAGGAGTCTTGGTCTCAGTACTTACACAGCAATAAAATTTTCATGAAGGAGGGAGACTATAATAGATTGATTTGGAAAAGTCTGCAAAGTCTGTTGTCAAAGAAGCGAGGTCTAAAATAAATAGTATATGGTTTCAGCTATTATTTGCATTAGATTAATTTATTAATGCCTTCTCAGATGACTGTTCACTTAAAGTGTCTGTAAATTTCAAACACACAGAACAAGGGCTACCACTGAGCCATACTTCTGGAATTCGGTTGTAGAGTGGGAGGAGGGATGAGCAAAGAAGTCAAGACCATGTTGGAGAAACCTACAGAAACAGATGACCTGATCTAATAAGAGCACATGGACCTCAGTATTAAAGTTGGAGAACCAGAATTGGACCAGACCAAACCCTCTGAATATGGGAGCCAGTTAGGAGGCCTGAGGAGTCTCTGGGTCCTCTAACAGTCTAACTAGTATTTATCTCTACTGCACAAATAGACTTTGGGAGCCCATTCCCTATGTAGAGATACTATTTCACCTCCAGATACATGAAAGAGGACCTAGGCCCTCCCCCAAATGATATGTTAGACTTTGCTGATCCCCCATGGAAGACCTCACCATCCTTGGGGAGTGTGTGGGGGATGGGTTGGGAGGGTAGGTAGGGTGAATGGGAGGATGGGGGGAGAGGGAATGAAGAGGATTGATATGTAAAATGATACTAAATTATTAAATTTTTAAAAAGTAGAAAAAACATGATCTACCTATGGGACAGATATCAGGGTGACTGGGGTCAGGTTTGGTGGAGAGAAATTTCATGTTGATTCATTTTATGTCACTTGGAATTTGAATCATATGAATGGCATCCTCAGGAGACAACTACCTTCAGTATAGAACAAGGGTTCTAATCTTGGAGTGTAGTTGTGAGGGCTGATCAGGAAGGGTAGAAGAATTTCTTAGAGTAACCAGCATCTTGCACTGTGTCCACAGAAATGCAGAGTCCTCAGGAAAGTTGGGCTTTTTGTGTATAACAGCTTGAAAAATACAGAGCATGGAGTATTCTGTGTCTAATAAAGAGAAAGTTAGAATGTTTTGTTCTTGTAGTATTATGTTTTAAGGAAGTCTCAGGTAGTCCAAGTAGATATCTTGTTCACTATGTGAACAAAGATAGCCATGAATTCCTGATTTTCCAGCTTCTACTTCCTAAGTGCTCAGTTTATGTGTTGTTGGGATCAAATCCAGGGCTCCTTTGAACTTGCTATGCAAGCACTCAACCAACTGAGACATATTCTCAGCTCTTCGATGAAATTTAGGTTCTTGGTGCCAAAAGTTTAAGGGAAGCTAAGAATAATTCAAGGCATAGTGAAGTCAGTAAAGAGGCCAATCGTGTGACTGCATATCTCAATAAATTTTGTGTAGGAGAAAGTACAAGATACAATATAAACAGTTGAGAAGTGGATTTCACTCATTTTGGTCAAGATGGTCACATGACTTTCCTGTGTCCTTCTTGTGCTTCCCCCAACATTCTCAAGTGAGTTCTCTTTATGATGTCTTGCTCTTCCACAGTCTGAGTAAGTTCTCCGAGGTCATTATTCACATCCACACTGTTCACATCCAGTGAAGAAATAGCCTGGTTTACCTAGATTCTTTTGATGAGTTTTGCAATTAGCATGCAAAATAATGGTTTTAATTTACTATAGAATTTCTCCCCTAAATAGACTCCTTTCTGATTTCATGTCACATGTAGCTCACAAGTTTACTAATTATGCTAGTAAACTGGACAAGATTTGCAGTCACATAGGAGACAAGACCGTGGGCATATCTATGAGGAATTATTTAAATTATGTTAGTTTCTAGGTATGCTTGTGAGAAATAACTTGATTAGATTATTTAAAATAGGACACACCCACAAAGTAGATGGCACCAATTTATTGGTTTGGGTTATGAACTGCATAAAATTAGAATAAGCATAAGCACAAACATCCATCTCCCTCTGTTTCACAATTGTGGATCCAATATGACAAATATATCCCATCCTTGAGAGAAAAATCAGTACTTTCTGTTGAAATATGGGATTGCTTAATCCATTTTCCTGCAAGTGAAATAATTTCCATATCAGATAGGTACCCAAAGGATATATACACTCTCATACAGAAGTGCACTGTCGATCACATTTTCCCACAGGTGTCTGTTGAATTTTGAGTTGGTACCAGCCTGGTCATTAGTGACTGAAGACAACTGCAATCCAAATTCACCTGAAAACCCTCTTTACTTTTACCTTCACTTTTTCCCCCTTGCCCCAGGTCTCTTATATATGGCTAACATTTACCTGCTAATCCCCAATAAATATCATTGTCCTTCAGAGAATATTTTCTGAGCTGAAAGCTATTTAGCAACAATAAGTAAGTAAGTGGATGACTCTAACTTACTTAAGGGAAGGCATTTGGAAGAGTAAGAACTCAATGTGATTGGGTGGGATTTCCTGGCTTTTCATAGCTTGACGTGACATTTCCTGGGTAGATATGCAACCCAGCTTGATGTAACATTGAAGAGTGGTGATGTGGATTTCGTGGTAATTCTGGGTGTGCAGTGTTTTAAGAGGTGGCTTACATTTCTCCCATTCTTTCTGTCTTTCAGAATTGATCTCTCATTTACATCCTCCAGGACAAGGTAAGACAACCAACTCTATTGGGCAGAATTTCAGATATCAGCTTCCACCCCTTAAAAGGAATTAGATATTTTTAAAGTTCTTGCACTTTTTCTGTCATATAGATTTTCTTGTATTATGTTCTGATATGAGGGGTTCCCTTTGGTTACAGCAGAAAAACTATGTATGAAAGATTCAATTTAGTAACCAACTCTCAGTCACTCAAGTAAAACACCCTTTTCTCCATTAGGACTAAGAAAAGACAATGTATGTTTCTGCACTTTGTTCTTTCCTTTTCCAATGATAAATAATAGTTATATTTATAGGAAGTTAAGCATAATTTATAGATGTATATTCACACCATTGGTGAATAAATTGAGGTAATTAATATAATCATCTTATCACAAACATGAATTATAAGGCATGGAAACATAATGCATGATTTTAATGTATAAGTATTGGGAAGTACAAAGTTAGTCAAATCATAAACCACCTGAAGCTATTTCCTATTCTAAGAACAAGAGAATGCAAGTGGGGTTGGGTTCGTGTTTAGAAGTGAGCCCTTCAGCATGGAGCAATACACTGGGAGAAGTCACAGCTATACTATTGCTGAGGCAGGGCAAAGAAAAACGCACAAGGAGGAGGAGGAGAAGGAGGGAGAGGATGAGGAGGAAGAGAGAGGGGGAAAATAGGAAGAAACTTGTGGATAGCAGTGAGATCTTTGAGAGATGATTTAGAGATCACTTTGGCAAAACAGGAGATTCATTTTTTCAAGAACAGAGGAAAACATATATGTTGTACTTGCTGTCTGTTGCTGTGATAAAACACTACGTAAACCAACTTGGGAAAGCAATGGTGGTTTTTGGCTTATACTTACCAATCATAGTCAATCATTGAAGGAAGTCAGGGGAAGGAACTTGAGCAGGAACAGAGGCAGTAATGATAGAAGCCTAGCCTTTAACGGCTGAGCCATCTCTCCAGCCCAGTAATGATGGAAGAATGCTGCTTCCAATCCAAAGCTTCCCAGCACCTTCACAGTCTTCCCAAAGAACAACACAATCAAGGAAGGGAACTGCAGTTGGGATGTAATGTATGAGAGAAGAATATTTTTTTAAAAACCACATGAAGTATCCCTTCACCTGTGTGAAAGTTCAACTCTCTGTGGAAAGTTTACCTTGGGCTGATTTGTAGAAGTGCAACTAGAAAGGTCATTGGCATTTCTATACTTGCTTCTAACAGGGATTTCTTACCAGAACTATTTACTCAGTAAATAGTCTAACTTCCTGTTATGTTTCATCCTAATTATTTATACCATTGAGTCCATAATTTAATGTGATAATTATGTATTTTCTAATATACGTTAAAAGGTGTGATTGAACAGAAAAAAAAGAAAGAACAACATAATCAAATCCTTTTTAAGCACTACCCCACTCCTGTACCAATTTCTATTCTAATTACTTTTGGTTGCTGTGATAACACTTAACAATCCCAATCCATCACTGAGGAAAACTGGGACAGGAACTCAAGCAGGGGCAGAGAACAGTAACATGGAGGAATTCTCCCCACTGGCTTGCTCTCCATCACTTGTTCATCTTGCTTTTTTACACAAAACAGAACCACCTTCCCAGGGATGACACCATCCAAGTGGGATAGCCCCCCCTACATCAATCATCAGTCACGAAAATGACCTACAGATATGTACACAAGCTAGTCATACAGAGAAAATTCTTTGATTAGGATTCCTTCTTCCCAGGTGACTCTAGTTGTGTGTCAAGCTGACAAAAACTAGTCAAAACAGATGGTGAGAAGAACTCTCACCAGAGTGTGAACTGTGACAAATGGGGTCCCTCATTGCTAACGTACTTTCATTGAGGAAGCCAGCATCTCCAACCTGAACCCAGATCTGGAACAAAACAAGGCTCCTCTGGAGATTTTGAAGATACTTTGCATGAGAAGTACGAAAGGCAGCAAGAGACACCAGCTTTGGTATATGTGGTAATGACGAGACAGGAACTGCTGTCCTGTCTTCAAAATAGACATTCCAAAGTCAAGTCTGAGTCATGCACAATAGTTCAAGCTTGAAATCCCAACACTTAGAAATCTGAGACAGGGGGGCTAGCATGAGCTGCAAGCAAGCCTCAAATGTAGAGTGAGTTTGAAGTCTAGCTAGGTTACAGGGTGAGATCAGCCTAAAGAACAAAACAACCTGAAAGTCGCTTTCCAATATGAGCTTATTTTGTATTCTAAAATCATTCTCTTTTCCAGAAATTTCTATTGCTAACTGTGTCTTTCCATTCATCTATGGTGGTGAATTCCACTACAATTGTATCTCCGTCCACAGTGACTTTGACTGGTGTTCCCTTGATTTTCAATTCCAAGGAAGGTGGCGTTACTGCACAGCACTGGGTGAGAGTCCTCCGAGGGTATACATCAGATTGCATGGCCCAAGAGAAGAAAGGTTTTGGATTTCAGAAAGAACTGAGTTCAGATATTGTCTTCTCTGTGTAGTCTGAAGAACTTGAAAACAATCTGATAGGAAAATAATTGGCTGTTTTCTCCACGGAGACCAATTTGAGGACAGTGTTGTTTTTTTGTTTGTTTATTTGTTGACATCAGAAGCCTGCCTTTTATGGTGATTGGATGAGGTGCTACATTGTTTGATGGGATAAGACAAAGTCAAAGGAAAGATGGTGGGGGAGTGGCACAGGGTGATATGTCTGCTTCCCCGAGCCTAATATAATGCTCCATTTGCTAGAGCGTCAAATTAGATTCAGCAAGACAATATTGTAAATTCCAAAGGAAGCAAAATGTTCCAGAGTGTCTTCCAGTCACAACCTCAGCTGGCTTCCTGTGGTGGTGACATTCCATTGAAAAGTATCCCAAATTTCATTTTTATGAAAGGTCTGGTATTGACAAAGTGTTCTGGCTGCTAACTTCACGGCTTGACAGAAAATGGAAATGTTTTCAAATACGACTTTTCCTTCCCTCTCCAGGCTTGGGTGAGGGGCTGCTTCTTGTATCTCCTCCTCTTGTGACTTGGGTGTCTATTTAGTCTGCATAATTTATAAGTGCTGTACAGTGGGCTTAGGGAAAGCAGAACTGAGTGGCTAGATGAGGTCCTGCTGGGCAAAGGGAACCCAAGTTCTAAGTGGCAGAAAGAAGAGACTGTGTTATTAGAAGTTTCTGTTTGTGGTGTGACACCCAAAGGGACATAATCAAAGCACGGATGTGTCTCCACAAAGCGTGCTCAATTCCTTCTTTTCACTGGAGGACAGATCAGCAGGTCACAGAGGGAACTGGGGGTGCAGGTGCAATGGTTTTCAAAGGGGTGGCGCCGAGGGACAGCCTCCTCTGCTCTCTGAGGACAGTGTTCTTAATGCATCCTTTACCCATCTTTCTCTGCAGATCCTCCAATGTGTATCTTCCCTTTCCAATTCAGAAAAAAGACCATGAATGAATGCACCAAGGAAGGCTACATTTTGAATCGAAGTTGGTGTTCGTTGACTGAAAACTACAACAAAGATAGAAAATGGAAGCAATGTTCTCCTCACAAGTAAGATGATGGATGGGAGGTGGTGTCTCAGCATCCTATAAGCTATGAAAAGAGCAAAGTATTAGGCTGATGGATGAGGAGCCTGAGATCTAGATCTCCTGGCTGTGACCTAGTCAGGGGCAGCAGACATTTCCTGTGACATGTCTCCTGTTGAGTACAACAGATTTATCAGGCTGCATGGTGCTGGCCAAAAATATTCAGCTTGGCTTTGTAACACAAATACAAACACAAGCAGAACAAGTGTATTGGAGGACTGGCAAATCTGATGTGCTGGTGTCTTTTTACATACTGTCTAATGATTATAATCACATGTGTTCCTTTTGCTGTTGCTGTAATAACACACCAAGGAAAGCAATTCAACAAAGGAGGGAAGGGTTTACTTTGGTTCACATTTTGCTGAGGGGATACGGTCCATCATGGTGTGTAAGGTGTCATGATGTGAGCATAGGACAGCTGATTGCATGTATCTGCAGTCAGACGACAACAACAAAATATGCTGATAACTCAGCTGGCTTCCTCCTTTTTCTGTTGTGTTGTCTGAGACCTCGATCCAAGAGCTGTTGTTGCCTACATTCAGGTGAGTTTTTGCTCCTCACTTAAACCTTTTCTGACATGCCTGAAAGTGTGTCTCCTAGGTGATTCCAAACATAGTCACATTAACAGTGATTCATAATAAGCCATTTCATAATGCATGTGTTGTTTTCCTGTTTTAAAACTTGTTTTGAGTCACAAAATAAGTATGAGATAAATACAGAAACACTGAGGCAGCATATGACAAGAGAAACATCAGCATTCTTTATGTTCTCCTCCCCTGGAACTCCTTTCCACAGATGCTTGTGTCTTCCTACACTTATACATAGGCACACAATTTTGGGGCCTTTAAAATATAATTGAATCCCCTTTATCACCATGGGTTGAATCCACACATGAGATTTCTGATTAAAACAAACTTAACTGAACATCGAATTAAATGTCTTTCAAACAGTGTACTGTACAAGTTATATTGTCATAAAAAATGTATATTCAGTTTTTAGGATCAGGAATGTATGTACTCTTCTTAGGCCACATCTCCTACCTCATGTACTCATGCAATTCTGATTGCTCCTTAGAAAGCAAAAAAGAAGAAGAAAGACTACAAAGGAAGGAGACACATGTGATATTGATCTTGGGACAGTAGAGAAGACTAAGACATTCATTCTAACATTTTTTTCCACCTCAGTTTTTAGGTAAACGTGTGTGCTTTTGAAGAGACAGAAGTTAAAGATCCATCAGATGTCTCTCCAAATATAATTCTTCAGTTATCATTAAGGAACATTCCAATAATAAATGCCTACTCTCTTGTCTACACTGATGTCTTGTTTTCCTGGATTGGGTAGAAAGAGCAAAGCACATTAAGGATCAATTAATTTTCATGTGGTGGAGTTGTGACCCAGGGAAAGGTCTTGGGGTGGCTGGTTACATTGTATCTGCAATCAGGAGACAAAGGGGCGAATTCTAGGGCTTAGTAGACTTACTTCACCTATTTTACATTTTTATTCACTGAGAGAACTCAGTGAGTGAGATCATGCTGCCAACACTCAGTGTGGATTTTCCATTCTCAATTAAATTCTTTAAAAATGTTCAAATCAGCTGGGCGGTGGTGGCACACGCCTTTAATCCCAGCACTTGGGAGGCTGAGGCAGGCAGACCTCTGTGAGTTCGAGGCTGGGCTGGACCGACAGCCTCCAAAACAATACAGAGAAACCCTGTCTCGTAAAACCAAAAAAAAACGTTCAAATCAGGTTCCTCTAGTTTGAGGCAAGTTAACTGATCTCTCATGATACCTCATACGTTTTAATTTTTATGGAAATAAAATATACAGCTTAAAACTTTGGAGCTAAAACTCACATAATGTACAGTTAAGCACATTTAGTTTAACAAGTCAGTAGCATTTAATACAATCAGAATATTGAACAATGACCTCCACCAAGCTCCAAAACATTTTTATTATCACAGAAGGGGGTTCTGTACTCACCAAGCAGTAATCACCCACATTCTTTTTCCCCCGATGCTGACAGTCACAAACCTTTCTTTTGTTATCAATTTTACAATTGTGGATGCTCAACAACAATGGGATTATACAACATATGACAGTTTGTGTCTTGCTTTGGAGAGTTACCCACATTTATCTATCTCAGTATTTTGTTTCTTGCTGTGACCAATAATGTCCCACTATGTGGATAAGCTACATGTTGTTTTTCAATTAACATGTATGTCTTGAAAGGGCATATCTGCTGTGTGGAACTAGGCTAACTTTCAAAATCTAAGTCATCCATGTAAAATTAACCTGTTTGCTATGATATGAATGTCTCTCATATTTGAATTTAAAAATTTGTTTCCTTCACTAAGTTAAGAAACTTACTACAGTGTCACTGAACACGCTGTCTATGCTATTAGACTTTCTGTACTCATCTTTCCACACCATGGATTCTTGGGTTTTTGTCTCTTGAATATATTGAAGTCATTGAGCTTAGGCCATACTAATCTCATTATTCGCTCACTCCCCCCTCTCGCTGTATGTTTGTATGTATGTACATATGCAAGTTTGTATGTATATAGTATGTATATATGTATAAATACATGTGTGTGTGTGTTTGTGGAGGATGCACTTAGTTGTGTATGCATGCTTGAATGCCAAATATCAACTTTGAAAGTATTCAACTATCACTGTCCACTTTATTTTGGGAGATGGGGCCAGAGTCTCTCACTGAACTTGAAGCTCATCATTATTCCTAGACTGGATAGTATGGCACAGTTTTCCTGTCCTAACTGCCCACTCCCTGTCCCAACACAGGGACTTAATATTACTTATAAATGCTTGACCAATAGCTCGGGCTTATTACTAGCTAACTCTTACATTTCAATTACCCATCCTTCTTCTCTCCATCATTCTCAGTTTGGTTTTCCCACCTAACTTTATCTTGTTCAGCTATTGGCTAGTCAGCTTGTTTATTAAACCAACCACGGTGACATATATTCACAAAGTATAAAGGAATATTCCACAGCACTAGATGGCCACAAGCCAACAGGATCTGTTGCTTCTGTCACCACTCCCAACCAGTGCAGAGGTTACAGATACAGATATAGATATAGATTAGTAAAGATAGAGCAGGGTGTATGAATTGAATATTGTCTCAACTTGTCCTATCTTTTTATCCCCCCAAATTCATTCATTTGCTTACCCTAGTCTATTGCTGATGCTTAACACCGCACTTTTTATTGAATTGATTGGCTCTTCTATTTCCAGTAATTCTATTATTTGGTTCCATTTAGGCTCAATTTCTTTGTTTAATCTTAACTTCATGTTATTGGATGTTTCCTCTAAAGATTTGGCCATTTCACCCATATTGTTAACTTTCTCATCTAGGCCTGTAACTGGGCTTCTTATTTAATCTATCCATTTGGGTCCTCTGTATGATCACTGATCCTTTTTTATTTTGATCTTGTTTTTATTAATTTATTTTTAAATGACACACATAGACTGTACACACTTACAGTGTACCCATTTGATGTGCCCATACATACATACATCTTGTACTATTTAAAGCAATTCAAATATTTAGCATTTCTTTATGATGAACAATTCAACAACTTTTCCTCTTGCTTTTTGGATACACAATACACTCCCACCCGGCTCTGTACAGTAGTTAACCAGAGCATCTTCCTCTTAACAAGTTGTTAGGATCCACTTTCTCCATCCCCACTTCTTCCTAGTCTCACTTCAATTTTCTTTTTACCAACTGGGTTTCTGTGCTTTACAATTTCTCCCATAACTCATACATATATTTTATTCTATACTTTCATGCTATGGCTTTATTATTTAAATAATTTAAATATATTTTTATCAGATTCTTTCCCTCCCCACAAGTCCTTCCAGATCCTCTCCCCATCCCTATCCACTCAACTTTAAGTTCTTTCTCAAAATGAAAAATTAAAAACCCAATATAATGACTACAGACCCCAAAACCAAGAAAACAAAATAAAACAACACCCAAAAAGGAAAAAGAAAAACAAACAATAAACTTTAACCAAATAAAACACACACACACACACACACACACACACACACACACACACACATACCAGAAATCCTGTGGTATCCGTTATACTGGTCAAGTACTCTGAAATGTGAGGAATTCCCTGGAGTAGTTGATATCTTTATCTTGTATTTATCCTTCTTATTATCTTTGGTTTCCAGAATTTAGTGAGGAGCTGTGAACTTTTGGAGATGTTAAAATGAGTTATTGCCTCTTATCTGTTGTGTTTTATGCATGTATTGATATAGATGTGTCTCAGTTTCTCCCCCCTCAGTGTGTGTGTGTGTGTGTGTGTGTGTGTGCGTGATAAGCATGTGTGTTCATGGGGACTCTGTGCACTTGAGTGTGCATGCATGTGTGAATGCCAGATGTCAACTTGGAATATTTCCCACTGTTGTTCTCCAGTTTGTTTTTTCAGGCAGGGTATCTCACTGAACTTGAAACTCACCGTTATAGCTAGGCTGACTGGCCAGCAAGCCAGCAGGGTCTGTTGCTTCCATCCCCATCTCCAAGCAGTGCTGAGGTTACAGGCGGTTGTTGTTTATTTAATGTGTGTGCTGGGCTCCAAACTTACGTTCTCATGCCTGCCCAGCATACATTTTACCCACTAAACCACCTACACAACCTGTTTCTTCCTATTTCTTTTTTGTTTTGGTTTGGTTTTTTGTTTTGTTTAATTTTTTTATTTAATTTAAATTAAAAACAAGTTTGCGCCGGGCGGTGGTGGCACACGCCTTTAATCCCAGCACTCGGGAGGCAGAGGCAGGCGGATCTCTGTGAGTTCGAGGCCAGGCTGGACCGACAGCCTCCAAAACAATACAGAGAAACCCTGTCTCATAAAACCAAAAAAAAAAAATCAAACACAAGTTTGCTTCACAAGTCAATCCCAGCTCCCTCTTCCTCCCCTCCTCCCCCCGCCCCTTTTTAA